TGATTTGTTATAAGATATCATTGTAATTATTTAAAAATAAAGGGTGGTTACTTTTTACAAGAACTAAATTAAAGTTAAGGTTCCCGTGGCACGTTGTAGAAATAATATTTAACACATTTGATTATGGAATATCATGCTGAAAAAATAGAACATCACTTGTGGGCCTTAGCTGCTGTCTTTGTCCCTTAGTGGAGAAGACATTCAATTTACGTGGTGCGCCATTCCATTACAAGTCATTCATATTTCAACGCGTTGGAGAAGCGCACTTACATACACACAACATGAACGATTGTGATGTTCTCTAATGCATGTACATGTGTTTCTTGCAATGAAAAAAGAAAAATAAATAAATAAAAATGCACTGTACACATAGATAAAAGTGGGTCTATGTGTTATTTGTCAAATAAAATATAACAACGTAAGTGAAAGAACCATAAGCAGAACAGGTGTAGAGACCATCAATCCCACCCAACATGTATCAAGTAGGAGTTAGGTGGTAACATTATTTCTTATTAGTGTAGCCATTTTAGAGAAGCAAGTTTGAATCTAATAGAGTTCGTGTGGAGATTAATGATAAAGGAAGATTCTAATAATCAATTTCCAGAAGTTCATATTTTTCTCTGATTTTTAATTGTTATTCCACAAGATATGTATGCATGCATGTATATATGGGACAAGTGTAAAAAACACCCCTAATGTATATTTTGCGTAACACTTTTAACCCTATTTTAAAAAATGTTTAACAAACACCCCTAATTTTTCAAATTGTGTGAAAATAGTCCTCAATCAGATATCTGACATAAATTAGAGTTGTAATACCCGTTTTGCCTTTTTTCTCTTCCGAAAATATCCAAGGAGGTGTATATGCTACTAATATCATAGTATAGGGTTGTTATATGCACATTACTTCTTCTTTTTTTGGCTGGATTAGGCTAAACTGGTTTTGGGTTAGGCCAAACTGGTTTGAGACACCATCACTCCATTAACCAAACACGCTTCTTCTCATTCTTCAACCCCACCTAACAAGTGGCGAACCACGCGTTGCGATCTAGCACCGGCGAGCCACGACGACGACGATGGTGTCAACTGGAGCTTTCAAGACGACTATGGCAAAGGCAACGAAAACAGCCACACCAAAGATGAAACCTCCGGTGACAGGGACCTCTGCAACTATCTTTAAATCTCAGTTTTGGGTTACTGCGCACGGCGTCAATCAAGGTGTCGTTAATGAAGGTGAAGGTGGTGTAGACGGCATCTCGTTGATGCCGAGGTCACGGAGGGAGAGGTGGAAGTTGCGGATGGGCGGGAGGAGGCTGCCGGAGAGGCCTTTGGAGCTTGTGGCCGGGGAAAAAGAAAAAAGAGGAGGGAAGATGGTTTTTTTTTTAGCTACCCTTTTTAGTCATTTTACAAAATATTAATTTTTTTATATATATATTATTAAATGTGTAGCTAAGGGCATTTTAGTTCAATTTTATCATAAACGTGTGAGTATAACCTATTTGCACAAATATTATAGTTTAGAGATATTTTTTGCACGAGGGGTGCAATATGTACTGTAAGCATACTATAGGGGTGTTTTCTGCACTTGACCCATGTATTAATGGTAGAGATTGATCCACGTTTAAGAATTTAGCTTCTCTGGGTCAGATGTTTAATTTTAATTTTTAATCATGTGCCCAAGTTGTACTAATGATATGAAATTACTAACTGATAAAATAATGACACATAGTGACAAATCCTCTAAAGTAAATACAATATTACAAAAATCGGTCATTTTTTTGTAGTTACTTTAATAAATAGAGTCCAACAATGACTCTTGTCACCTTTTAAAAATAACAAAATCTCATTTTTAGGTACTTATTCCAATCACTAATTTTCACATTAAGTCGGTTATGTAGTTGGTAAAATACAGTCATACAATTATATCTTTTTTCCTACCAATAATAATATAAGTCACATTCAAGTTATAGTTTAAGTTGCAAGATACCTTTATTTTGAACCCAATCCAAATATAGTATCTCTTACATAAATTTAAAGACAGTAGTTAGCTACTCACCAGTGATCATACTTACCATCGATGTGGTGCAAAAACAGAGTGATAAGTGTCCCGTGATATAAAATACTGAATAAAAAATAAAAGATTCATAATGTTATCTAGGTTAAACCCAACATGATTCAAATCAAACCCTAATTCTCCCTCTCTCTCACACTACCTTGTCGCGAAAGCACTTATCACATACTTTCACGGTAATACGATGTTATTATGATGTTTTCTTAAAAAACAATATGATCAAAATTAAATCTTAATATGATGTTTTCAATGTGCAATATAAACATCATACGAAAAAAAAAAAAAATTGCAAGGGATTTGCAAATGGGCCTCAACCTTCCACAATCCCTCTGAATGTTGTAGTCAGCCTCTGCCAAGAATTGGAATTTCAAATACAAATTCTTGATTTGTTAAACATCTCTCCTTCAATGTCCCAACCTTGCTCGAATGATTGATTACCTTTTCTCAAACAAAGTCTTCTTGATTCTTAATTTCTTAAATTATTGTAAGTTTTGAAAGTTTTTTGTTTTGAAATTTGATATATCAGTTTTCTGTTTCCCACAATTTAATGTTTTCTATGCTCTTTTTATAGGGCTATATGGTGATGGAGAAAAACTGAGGTGTTGGACAAAAGGTTAAGCATCTGAGAGTGAGAGACAAAATATAATTGGGCAAGTAAGTAGCGTGAGATAGAGACAGACATGTTAGGGTTTTGGTAGTGTGAGAAAGATAGAGACGTACTGAGAATCATATTAGGATTTGATTTGGATGCTATTGGGTTTAAATCGGATAGCCTCTCAAATTTTTTATTTTTATTAGTTTGTATTGTTGGACACTTGTCACTTTATTTTTGCGGGTGAGTATGAACTTCCTATTCATCGGTAAGTAGGAAAGTATTATCTTAAATTTAATTTGAGTACCAAAAAGATTTGGTCAAAATGCAAATTGGATTAAATTCACATTAATCAAAATTGCGCTAAGACTCATTTTGGTTTAAGGCTTAACTCGTTAAAATTCTGCTCGAGACTTGTTTGCTAAGCACGAGTCAAGCTCGAGCTAAATTTTTAGACTCGTTTAATTTACAAACCGAACTTGAATAGTATGGAACTTGACTCTTGTAGGCTCGTGAATATAAACTCGTTTAAGCTCATAAATATAGGATTTGTATAGGTTTATCAATGTAAGTCCACGAACATAAGTTTATATAAGTTCATCCACAAGAGAAGACGATCTTGAACACGAGCTCAAATCGAACCTAAACGAATTTTGTTATTAAACGAATCAAGCTCAAACTTTTCAAAATAACTACGAGTTAAGTCTAAACTCAATATTTTGAGACTGTCATAATTTTAAGCCAAGTTCAAGTTGAGCCCATAAATGAAAGAAACGAGTACAAACAAATTCAAACTTGCTTAATTTGTTTTATTTTTATTTCGGTACTATTCAAAAGCACAACAAATATTATCAAATATGTTTCGTGCTTTTGTTTCATTACAGTAATTAGTAAAAACAAAAATACGAAACAAAGACACTAGACAAACAGGCCTTTAAAAAAGAAAAAAAAAAAAAAAAAAATACTCACCCTGATAAATAGGCCATTGAGCCGCATTAAATTTTAGGATAAAGTACAGCCACACCCCCTGAGATTTGGCAAAAGGACACTCAGAGAAAATTTACCTATTTTTTGGACAAAGACACCACTTGAAGGTTCAAAAATGGACAAAGACACCCCTTTACGTGAAAAATTGACCAAATTACCCTTTCACCATTTATGAGACTTTTTTAACTTTACAATTTAATAAATTGAATCAATCTACCCTCATGAACAATTTATGCATAAAAAAAAAAGTAAAGAAAAAAAAAACTTTTTATTGTTCAATATATATATTTTTTGTTAGTTACTTTATAAATGTTCTAACTTCTTAAAAATGTAGACGTCTAAAATGATTTTTTGATCTAATATATATATTTCAAATAAATTATATTTTGTTATTACTTATTTTTCTTTTTTATTTTTATATTAAGATGCTAAAATTCTTTCATCTAAAAAAATTAAACCAATCTCTTTTCCTTAAAAATAAAAAATATGGTACTAGTATAACTTTATGCATCTTAAATTATATATCAAATATTATGTATTTCCCAATATAAAAGGGAAAAAAAATAATAATAAAACCAAGTGAAAAAATAATAATAAAACAAAGGGAAAAAAAATAATAAAACAAAGGGGGAAAAAAAAAACGAAGGCATCCATAAAGTTAAGATGCATAAAGTTATACTGGTACTTATTTTCCTTTATAAGAAATTGGGATATTTATAAAGTAAATAACAAAAAAAGAAAAAAAAAAAAGTGAACAATATAATTTTTTTTTTTACTTTTTTTTATACATAAATTATTCATGAGGGTAGATTGGTCCAATTTATTAAATTATAAAGTTAAAAAAGTCTCCAAAACAATCAAAGGGTAATTTAGTCAATTTTTTATATAAAGAGGTGTATTTGTCCATTTTTGAACATTTAAAAAGCGTCTTCGTTCAAAAAAAAAAGTGTCTTTTATCAAACCTTAAAGGGTGTACATTACCCTAAATTTTTTTTGCTAGAACAACCGAAAACCGAATATTTTCTTTGAAATAAGAATATTCCTCCCCAAAAACATACCTCTCTTTATCCTTAAAAAATAGAGAGGAAGACGTGTGTTCGTTCATGTTACGCAGCCGTCACGAAACCATCTGGTCCGAGTCGAGACTCCACCGACAAGTCAAAAGGAAAAAACTTCTCTCAACCCCGTTTCCCACATCGCTCCAAATTACCCTAAACCACAGGACAGTGATTGTTCTGTGACCACTTTTCACCCTTATTGACACGTGTCTTCACATAAACCCCGGTCACACCGCCTCTCTCAACCCTAGAGAGAAATATTTTAACTATACGTTATTATTCGCCGCTTTTATGCCATCCACAATTTATCCCTCTTGTCCTGGGGCTTCGTCCCCAATACAGGGCTTTCCCCTCTCTCTCCTCTCTCTAGGAATCAGAATAATTCTTCAGAATCTCTTTCAATTTCTTTGTAAAGTTGTCTTTGTATAGTTTCTCTCTCTACAGCTTTCCGCCTCTCTCTATATTTATATATATATATACATATATCTATATATAAATCTACTTATTTATTTTTTGCCCTAAATTTATCACCATGACTGCACTCGTTGAGAACAACGATCAACAGCTAAGCAACGCCCTTGAGAATCTCTCTATTGAAAAGCAGGTGAGCATTTGTTGTTGGATCTTCGTTAATTTTTCATTTCCCAACTGTTTGGAGCGGATCTTGTTTGGTTGCTGAGAAACGGAAAAAACGAGAGAAAGTATTGCGATCTTATTTCTTTTGTTGCCTTGATTTAGCTTAGATGGATGTTCTGTTGAATTAATTGAAAAACACTTAGATTAGAATCCGGATTAGGATTTTGAAAGTGTTTTTGTTCATTTTCTGTTTGTACATTTTGTTGGAAATGAAATTAAGAGTTATGTTCTTGTTGTTTGACTGGATCTGATAGCTCATAAGTGTTTTCAGACGGAACTGGAGGGTCCAATTGGGGATCATCAAGCAGTTGATTGTGAGAATCATCACGGGTTGTGTGCGATCTGTTTGGATAAGATAGCACTTCAAGAAACTGCTCTTGTAAAAGGTTGCGAGCACGCCTACTGGTTTGTCGAAATCACTTTTGAATTTATTTTGCATTACCTTACCTTGTGTTTTTGTCATTTTGTGTCTTTTAGTTTTGGGGTTATAGTGATTGTTATGGTGTACTGTAATAATTGCTTTTGCATTGTCTAACGAATTGAGTTGAGTTGTGATTACACGGGGAGGAAGAATTGTTTTTTTTTTTTTTTTTTTTTCCCCTAGTTAAGAATTGCTTTTTGTGTTTTTGGACATTATCAGGGTGGTAGAAAACAATAAACTATGCATGTGTAGTTTTTCCTTGGGTAGGAAGGAGCTTTCTGTGCATGTGGAAAATGAGATTCTGATCCATATCTGATAAAACACCATCACAATTATGAAATTTGATTAGGAGAAAGTGTATGAAGAAAAATCAAATGACGTGGCTTGTGATACACAGATGGAAGTTTAGTACTTGTATCAACTTAACAGCCTAGCACTTTGTTTAGACCTGGGGATTATAAGTAGGTTTATGGGTGACATTCTCAAGTGAAACTTCTATCTTAAGTTGAAAGTTCACCTTTTTGTTTACTGATCTTATTTTGAACCTGGGTTTTGTAAAATCAAGAATATGTGAACTCGTAATTTATAGACATTTGAAAAAGAAGTGGCAAATAGGTACAATAAATATAATGAGAGTTTCTTATATGTTTTGTTTATCTATTTTCTACAGTATTTGTTACAAGCATAATGATGTGGGATTCTGAGCAAGTTCCCTTTAAAACTTGATGTGGTATTATATGATGCTACATCATATTTGTTGATATGAAATTTAGTAGTAGCTTTGCCCTTCAGTAAAAATGCTAGATTTACTTGTATCATTTTCCTGTCAGTTTCATTTTCCAAATACCATTTGATTTCTATAAGAATTAGAAACTATTATCATCTTAAGTTTTTGGTCTTCCTAAGCAACCAACCATAGATGTTTCTTTGTGAGCTAAGTAAGTTCATCAATTCATACTTGTTTGTCGAATACACAATGCTTATCTTTAGGTCTGAGATGGGCCGCTCGTGTAATAATTGAGGTGGTCTACATGGATTGAGATCTCTCCCTAGTCCCTATATATCTCTCCCTGTTAATTTGTGCATTTCTCATGATGTTTGAAGTTCTATTTATGATCTTTATGTGAATTGTTTAATATCTTCTGAGATTGGGCTTCAACCAATTTGGAGCGAGTTCGTTAGTGCAATGGAACTCTATTCGTTTCTGTGCTGGCAATCATGCTGCTTCGTACTTTACATTTTGAAAATATGATAGTGCTGTGTCCTGTGTCATGTTATGCCATATGTCTTGGTTGTTCGTGATCCTTAACACACACACACATATATATATATATTAGTTTTATCATTTACTGTGACTCCAAGGTGAGACTTTTAGATCCACCCTTTTTTTATGGTGATATCTGTATCATTCGGGAGTACACCGTCTCTCACTCTCACTCTCACTCACACACACACACACGCCCACACATTACCCCTCTTATTTTTCTCTCTTACTCTCTCTCTCTCTCTCTCTATATATATATATATGTATAATTATACATATATATATATATATTATGCACACATGTTTATTCTTACAAGTGAATGTTGTCTCCGTGGTCTCACAGTCTGATAGTTTGAATTGAAACAAAGACAGGATATATATTCTGCGAGGCAGCTTTTTGGATTTTCTCTTTAATTGTTTCCACACACCCCCAGCCCTAGTCATAATTGCTTTAGTACATTCTCACTAAACCGTCTGTTTGCAACTCCTTTAATTTGCAAACTGATTCTTGAGTTTTCTGGATTTCCTTGAGTTCAGTCTTTAAAAATGGTAAGTTTGCTCCATTGTGCTTGGAGGTTTTGGTTCGAAATGGGAAACAGTCTTTCTACATGCAAAGATAGGCTGCACATTACTCCCCAGACCCGTCTGAATGGATAAGATATTGAAATTTTGGAAATAGAGAGTTGAACCTAAAGAGCTAAGAACTTCATTTTTAACCAATTCCGGAAACTTGGGAAATTTTAACATTATGTTAATGGCTGTCAACAATTGAACACTAAAATGGGACTATTGAGCTGATTGCAAGGGGATTTGTTATTTAGGAAATGTCAAGTAGATGAATTATTGGAGAATGCTTTAAACTGAAACAGAGGGAGCTAGTTTGGTTGGACTCTCACTTTATGTGACACATGTCAAAAACTGTTAGGATTTTTGTCTCAAATTCTATCAATAATTACTTTGATTTAGAGTCGTACTTTATATGGTAATTTCTTGTTAGGCAAGTCTTGGCCTGGTAGAGAACAGTGGCAGCAAGTGTAGGACAGTGGCAACAGCCTTTTACTGTATATAAAAGGTGTGGCAAGGAGGGTTCTAAGGCTCAAACCTTTATTTGGCACATGCTAGATGATGGGAGTCCACTTGGAGTCTTGCATAATTAGGGGGTTTGGTCAAATTGCATTATTTTGGTAATTGCATCAATTATGGTGAAATTGCATTGTTTTGGTAAATTGCATCAATTAAGTTATTTATTAAGGCTAGAGCCAACTTTTGATTACCTCCATTGTAGGGTAATCCAAGGGTCATAAGTTATTATAAGAAGGATAATTTGTAATTCTGATTACTCAGTGAATGAATGAATAAAAATATCCTTTGAGATTTCTTTGTGAGTGATTCACAAATTCCGAGGGGGTGAGGCCTTCTCTAGGTGTGATACCTAGGACCTGTTGGAGTGATTCCAATATGTTTTTGTTTTCTGTTGGTTTGATGCCAATAGGATTTTTTTTCTTATTTTCAAATCCTCTCTCTCTACCAATCTATCTGTTCGAATTTCCTGCCACTTCTCCTTTGTTTTCCTACATTTCTACTATCAAACCTCCAAATTTCAGAACTAGATCTTTGAACTTTCGGCCTCTGAATTCTTTAAGTCTCCCTTGTCGTAATCAGAGCCTAAGTTGACATTATGTTTACACGACCAGGAAACGAAAGATTGATACCAATCAGGAGATTGAGTTGCTGTTACATATTTTGGAACAACTTAAAGGTTTGAATGCTCGATGTGATAAGATAGGAGCTTGAATTTTGCGGCTGTTTAACAAATCTGTAGCCCTTGAAGAAGGATTTGCATTTGGTATTAATGATGGCAAAAATTGTGATCTACAACCACCTTTACACTCCCAGCAAATGCGTGAATTGAAGGCTGACCCACCACTACCTCCCATGTTAGAGTTTCCAAGAAATCCATTGGAAGTGAATCATCATGAACCACATGATGCCGTTGGAGATATTCCAAATAAGTCAAGTGATGGAATGTGCAGCACACTGACAACCCACCATGCTGCTGCCAAATGGTGGATCAAATGCATCTTTCTATGACATGGCTCATTTTGGAGGAAAGAGTACGATGGCTAGCAAGGATCGTGAGAACCTGCCTGATGATGAGAATTGCAACACTGATCATGTGAAAGAAGTTGGGGAGAACGTTTCCTCCATCTCCGTTGTGACGCGCATCCTTGAAGACCCTAAAGTTGATGGCGAAGATGGGCGACTCACATCTAATTCTCAGATGCAATTTCTTTGTGGATCTCCGCAGCCATGGTTAAGCGTCTCAAACTTTGCACAACCCAAATCCTTGAAGACCCTGAAGTTGAAGATGAAGATGGGCTGCTTAACTCTAATTTTCAGATGGAAGTTCATTGTGGAAACCAAGCTTGGAAGCCTATTATGGATGACAGTGACAGCCCAAATGTTGTCTCCCCAGCCATGGTTAAGTGTCTCAAATTTTCCACCAAACCATATCCACAACCATTCAAAGTGTCCTGGATAGATAGTACTTCTATTCCGAATCTGCCAAAAGATGCGGCTGTTGGAGTAGATACTTGGTGTATATTAGTGAGCACTGTAAAGAAATGGGAGCATGGTTGTGCCAAGAAGCAACAGAAGCTGGTTCAAATATCCACCAACTTGGTAGATGAGGTCTGGAAAAACCAATTGCCAGAAGAAACTAATCCTGCAAGTGATAAGCTAGAGGGGTCTCGTGCATTAAAAGAGCATTTTAGAGGGTTAAGTTTTCCTACTATTTCCTCAGTTGGTCCTAATGCAGCAATTATGCATTATAAACTAGAGGAGAAAACATGTTTAGGACTTTATCCTAACAACATTTGCCTATTCGATTCGGGAGCATAGTACCTAGATGGAACCAACTGGGTTGCTCTTTATGTTCTTGCTTGAATACATTCATGGAAGGATAGCCTTGATTTTCGACATGGTAGAGTTGGTGTCAGAGGTGGGGGGTCAGATTCTGATTTTGTTCTGGGGTTGCCTAGAACTATGTTCTAAGACCTCCAATGCTTTCCACAATGCCAAACCTTCTTTTCAAAAGTTGTCCGACTTCATGGGTTACATAACACTATTATTTCTGATCGAGCTCTGAAGTTTATGCGTTGTTTTTTGGTGCAAATTAAGGAAATTGCTGAATACAAGGCTGAAATTTTCTTACTCTTTGCACACTTGTGCGCAATTTTATCCCTTTAACTCGTCGGAGCCGAGTTTTTCCAAGCCAGAGAGAATTGGTAGAGAACAGTGGCAGCAAGTAGAGGACAATGTCAGGAGCCTTTTAAAGTAAATAAAAGGCGTGGCAAGGAGGGTTCTAAGGCTCAAACCTTAATTTGGCACATGCTAGACGTTGGGGGGTCCACTTGGGGTCTTGCATAATTAGAGGGTTTGGTCAATTTGCATTATTTTGGTAATTGCATCAATTATGGTGAAATTGCATTGTTTTTGTAAATTGTATCAACTAAGTTATTTGTTACTTTATTAAGCTAGAGTCAACTTTTGATTACCTCCATTGTAGGGTAATCCATTGGTCATCAGTTATTATAAATAGGATACTATGTAATTCTGATTACTCAGTGAATGAATGAATAAAAATATCCTTTGAGATTTTTTTGTGAGTGATTCACAAATTCCAAGGGTGTGGGGCCTTCTCTAGGTGTGATACCTAGGCCCTGTTGGAGTGATTTCAATAGGTTTTTGTTTTCTGATGGTGTGATGCCAATTGGCTTTTTTTTCTTCTTATTTTCAAATCCTCTCTCTATACCAATCTGTTTATTTGAATTTCCAGCCACTTCTCCTTTGTTTTCCTACGTATCCACTATCAAAACTGCAAATTTCAGCCTTAGTTCTTTGAACTTTTAGCCTTTGAATTCTTCAAGTCTCCCTTGTCTACATCATGACCTCTAGGGAATTTCTTGTTAGGCAAGTCTTGGCTCTAAGGAATTGTAATCCATATGCAACAAGAAATTGGGTTTTGGATTCTATATATAAATACCTGGGTTATTGTTGAGAGTTCTGAGTTGAGAGAGATTTAGCCTTATTACGGGTTTGGTAAGAGTGAATACTGATGTCGAGGGGGAGTCTCATGGAGTACACAGAGAAGAACTCTTGGGTAAGAGTGGTTACATGTTCCGGTGTTGGAAATTCTCAATTGCCGGAATATCTATATGATTATAGTGGAATATTTCCTCATCCGTTCCCCGCGTAAATCGGATGTTTTATTTTGTGATTTGTCTTTGTTGTTACGTTTCCGCTGCCCCCCAACAAAAAACAGATTGTGAATTATTCTGTATCTGTTCAGTTTGAATCGACTGAATAAGTGGAGCAGTTTAATTTATTCTACTTGATACAGTTCTGTATGTGTTATTGAAACTGATTATTCTAATATATCTAATTACGTCATTGATACCACTTAATTTTAATAGTTCACAACATCTCTCTCTCCATCTTTCTGTATCCACGTGTCCTGTCTTCTATATTAATCAATGACACTTCAATAATCACTAATTAATCTTCCTCTTTTGTTTATTTTTTGGGTTCTAGTTGCAGTTGGATTTTAAAATTTTGCTATGTTTTCTTTTTGTTTTAACTTCATTATTATGTGCTTTCAATCCATGGTTGAGTACAAGTGCATTGTTATACATCAAGCTGACAATACTGATTTTGTTGGAATATTAATTTGTAAATGGTGGAACATTTGATGTGCTTTACAATGCTTGCAATCTCATCAGTTTGCTCAAGGTGATTAGTTAAACAATATGAGCTTGGAATGTGACTACAAATATGTCTGTTAATTGGTTTTCTTGCCATATCTCAGTTGCAATATAGGAATTTGAACGTGAAATATGTATGTCATTGTAATGTTAACTAGATTTCTTTTCATTGTTCTCATGTAGTGTGACCTGTATACTTCAGTGGGCCACATACAGAGAGAAACCGACATGCCCTCAGTGTAAACATCCATTTGAGTCCCTCAATATACATCGTTCACTTGATGGCAGGTACAACAGAATTCCTTCTTGCTCATTATATAATTCTCTGGTCTTTTAATTGTGAAGTAAAAATGACTTTTTTTTTGGTCAAAATAATTAGTGAGGTAAGATCATCAAGTATTTATGAAAATGAGAGGTTTGGGATCTTTGTTGCCAGGGGTACTTGTAAAAACATGAGGAAAATATTGATGAAAGGGAAACTATTTTAAGAAACGGTGTTCTACAGTAGTATTTAAATGGATGCTCAGGTGAGGGGAATCAATACTTCGTATATGTAAACCTATTATTTAGTTACCGATAAGTAGATTAGAAGGTGTGATACAAGTAAAAGGGAATATGAGCTAAAAGTTTGGGGCTTCTAGATATTATTTTACGGTGTTTTAATATTGATGATGGTTAAAATACAAAAAAAGAAAGAAAGAAAAAAAAAAAAAAAGAAAGAAAGAAAATATTACGAGTAGACTACACTGCTTTTAGGGATACTTAAGAGAGATTTTGTACCATACATCATAGTTAAAAAAGAAATAAAAATTCTTATGAGATGTTTATGTCCCACTTTGAACAGCATCCACGATTACATGTTCGAGGAGAGTGTGTGCCTTCTTCTCAGGGCTTCATGGTTTAAGCCTTTGGTAGTGGAGTATCACGAAGAGGTGGATGATGGAGATGCATATCTTTTTTATTCATATGAGTATGAGTATGAGGATGAAGATGACGATCCGGATGAGGTATACTATAGCAGTTCATCAAACCTCCGCATTGGTAACCGCAGATGGGGGGATAATGGATATGTTAGCGCTGGAAGGCAAGAAGCAAGGCCAGTCATCCATCGACCAAATACACAGGACTCTGGTGCTGGTTCGTCACGTCAGCCTAAGAAGAAGGAAGCTGCTGCTGCAAAAGATTCGGTGGGGCGACGAGCGAAGAGGGCACTGAAGCGTGAAGCTGCTGATAAGGCTGCCGCTGCAAAACATGAGCAGCTTTTGGTCAGATTGGGTCGGAAGTGACCGTCTCCGAGTACTCTCTAGTACAGAGACCTTCAAATTCGTCGCTCCTTGTACAGTTGTTCCTTGCTTTCAAGTTTGTGAAATAATAACACAATTGACTCGGTAGTAGGTTAGATACCTGTTATAAATGGGCTTGATCAATGCCCTACTGTACCTTTCCAGGTTTACATCCCTGACTATTCAGTTCTTCCAGCAACCTTGTTTATATGGGTTTCTGTGGTGTACATTATTTGATTATCTTACTTCCGTGATCCGTAATTTCCGTAAAAGAAAAATTTAGCAGAAAGAAATTTCAGGTGAAGCTCAATGAAGTCGTTTTGTTAAGATTAACATAAGTTGGATTATGGTGTCCAAAATTAAGATGATTTTGCCCATCATGTTAGGCCTACTATGTCTCCAGAAATAAAAGGTTATTGAGTTCATTTTTCTTGTGGCGGTTAACCACTTTATTGGGGTTTTTCGCGGGTGAAATTGTTGAGCTAAAAGCATGGATAGAAAAAGCCGTTAATTGTTGTTTCAAGAGCACTTTTTATTATTGATGTAATGCAGGATAAAAGATGGATTTTTGACCATGTAAAGCTGAAACAGATTATAATTATTCGACTTTGGCAACTCTTATAAAGTCATTTGTTTTTAATGAGTTAATTGTCGATTGGTATTATAAACTTCTTGACCCAATTTGGTGAAACATTTGAAATTTACCTGAAATTATTGTTAGATTAAAAAAAATCTGACAATAAGTGTGATGTAGCACATTTTGGTTATCCTCGAGCACCTGGCCCAGATTGAGTGTGATGTAGCACCAGTATTGGCATATTATAGAAAATATTACTGTTAGGCCCTAGGGTTTCAAACCAATGGTATTTGGTGATGACAAATTATTGAAGGGGTTGGATTTAACGTCTGCTTAAGTTTTTGTTAATTATGGTAACTCGTAATAAACTCAAGTGAGTTTGTGGATGAATGGCAAAAACTAAGAAGAATCTTATACTTGAAAGATGAAAAAATCTAAAATCAAAGACAATGCAGTCAAACTAGGAAAAAAACAATAAAAGACAATGAAGTCAAAGACTTCTTCTTAAAGATCAAGACAATGAAGTTAAAGATAAAAGACTTCTACCTAAAGCTAAATAATTGAAGATTAAAGACTTGGGTAGAAGATAGTCTTGGATGAGTGCAAAGAAAGTAATTTTTGAAGTAACTCACTTGAAAAGTTATTTACCAAAATAATAATAATAATAATAATAAATAATCCACTTGAAAAGCCCAATCTAAGTATTAGTTTCTAGGACCATAAATATCATTCACACCACTCAAAAGCACAAATTATAAGACCTTTGCAGAGTTTGAGTTAGTTCAAACTTTCATAAGATTTGAAAGAACTTAACTCTAGATTTAACAAAATTTAAGTACCAAATGCATATCATTCATATGTAATTTGAATTGGTCTCTAGAAATCATTGACTTGGCCTTTGAATTTAATCGTTTTAATCTTAAAAAGTCTTTTTTAAATATTGAAATGGTTACCAAATTAGAATATCTTTCAAAATCTTAGTATTCACACTTACAAAAGTCAAAGATCTTGGATCAAATTGAATCATCCTATGTTGATGATCCTTAGATTCAAGAATTAGAATTTTTTAAAATAAAATTATTTTGTTGTCCTATACATTACGTTTTCTACAATAAATTGCAATGTGATTATCAATACTTGATAGATTGAGTTGTACATTTCAATTTTGTGCTCTAATTGAAAGTATGGTTTTATACCGTTGGATTGTGATTTTTTAAACTTTATTTGGTGTATTTAATCTTAAGCATTGGTATCTAAGTTTTCATGATAGAAAGTGAAGCTTAGATATATTTATTTGTGTAGAAACCGTCCTCCCACGTTGTTGTATGTAAGGGTTTCATAACCCTTTCCTCTTATAAGGGGATAGTGCCTTAAGGAACTTCTGCAAATTGACAAAGATATTTAATCTTCAATTTGGTACTATTGCTAAATTGCCCTATTTAATTAATTATTGCACTATTTCTTAATTTCTACAAGTTGATAATTGAATTGAAACCCAACACGATTGGTATCAGATCCATGGTTAGGGCTAGGATTTTTATTGTAGACCAATAAATCTGTGCAATTCTTCATATAATATAATATCTAAAGTTATTTTATAGCATCTAAACAGATCCAAGACAATTAATACTACTGTGGCACAAGAGGCTTTTTCACTAGTCTTGGTGGACAAAGGAGAGAGAACAATCATGGCATATAGTTAAAATTGGACATTAACAAGGCATGGCAGATTGGAGTGAAATAAACACATAGAAGAGCTAAAACTGTGTTAGTTTTGTGGGAAATGGATGCAGCTCATTATGCATACTGTTAACAGTCTACAATGTTAAAATTGGGTGTTTTTAATACTTTTATGTCCTATATATATATATATTTTTTCTGAGAGTATGTATATCGGCCCTACAATACACATATCATTGTGCGGTTCGAAAGCAAAACCTCAAGAATTTACCTCCGAATCCCTGCCAATGCCACTATGCCCCTTAGGGCTTCTACATGTCTATTCTTGTTGCATATAGCCTTTCAGTAAATTATAAAACTAATCTTGTTGTTTGCTGGTGTATTTTAGGAATCAAATTGGCTAAATTATGTCCCAGCATATATCACCTGCAAAAGCAGATGATTCGATTTTCTTTGCAAAAGCTTCTAAGCTTTGAACAAATATTGCTATGTTTGGGTTTTAGAAAATAAAATAAAATAATAATAATAATACCTGCGATGTTGTGGTCCGAATTTTGTTTCAATCTAGGCCGTGTTGCGACTTGAAAAATGATATTTTTTGGCCCGTTTTTTCGCTTGCGTGTCATTGATTTGTTTTTGTAACCTGCTATATAAGGATGTCTAGGGTTTGGAGTGGGATAACAAGAAAATGCTAAATATCGCTATAAGAAAGTAAGAGCAAGAGTTAAAGTTTGCAAGCTGAAATTTGTAATTCATGTTTCTCACGTAATGAAATATTGGTAGAATCTTCATTGTGGATGTAGGGTTAGATTTAAGTCGAACCACATAAATCTTTATACTTTTGTGTGTTATATTTATTTTTCTGTTGTAATTCTTGTTTTGTTCTTAATATGCTACCAGGGGCGGAGCTAGGGGTGGGCAGGGGCTTGCCCCCAAACTTTCTTAAAAATTTCATTTATACCCTAAAATATTAATTACTTGGTAGGTATTATCCCTAAAATTCATTAAAATTATCTCAAACTTTCTTAAAAATTTCAATTGGGCCCCCCATTTTTCAAAACACTATATAAGCTTCATTGTAATTTCATCTATCGACTAAAAATAGAGAATTTGGAATAAATTTAGTTTGTCTCTCCTTGAAATTTAGTAATTTTTTAATTTGGACTCTTTTAACTATATTTTTAAAAGCTCAAATTTAAGAATTTTTACAATTGATGTATAAATTTTTTTAACTTTACTCACATATTACAAACCGAGCCCCCAACCTCAAATTTTTGACTCCGCCCCTATCTGCTACGTTTGTGATATAATTGCACGGTAGGTGAGAGTTGGATGCTACAAACACGTGACATATGCCTAAAATGACCCACTGATTGGGGAAAGTGAAAAAATGTCACTCTATATTGAATAGATAAAATTGATGGAAAGGGAAGTTTTTAAAACATTTTGAAGTGAGAATGTAGTAACTTTGTTGAAAAAGGTTAAACCTGTCAAATTCAGAATTACCACCATTTATTCTCTCATTCATGAAACAAAGAAAGGAACTTTTTAACAGTTGCATACATTAATTTGTGTTACATAACCATTATTTACCGAGAGAATTGGGGCCATTCAGTTGGAAAATGTCACTCATGTCTCAATGCATGTGCCAAATTGAGGACTTTGTAATAAGCATGCCATGAAAAGGACAACTAAATTAGAACATTCCAATCAAGTATGACCTACAGGGAATTATGGGGTCTGTGCTTTTGCATCATTTATGGTTCAAACCACACACCACAATTTAACGTGTTTTAGCTTATAGTCTACGTGGATGGACAAAGATCACAAAGAAATTTTACTATAGAAAGGAAAGACAACCCACGTAGATAGACATTAATCGCGAATACAATTTACAATTGAAAGAAAAGACGAATGTATGGTCCATTTGTCTCCTCCTCCATTTTTTTTTTTTTTTTTTTTTTTTTTTTTTTTTTTTTTTTTTTTAAGATTCTCAATATTGCATCACATTTTATCGTGGTTTAAGCTTATATAGCCTACGTAGAAGATAGATATAGACCACAAATAAATTTTACTATAAAAAGAAAAAACGAATGTACAAGTCTATCAAATTCTAACTCTAGTACGTCATTTGTCTCTATATTTTTGTTCGAAGGGGTCAAAATGGGGTAGCAAGAAATGACAAAGTTTAGGAGTCGCAATATCTTATATTCTTTACTATATGCATATTGGTGACATTTTTGTGGGGATATTGGCTGTAGCTTTGGGTTGCTACCTTAATTATTTGACTTTATTTCATTAATCATTATGTTCTCGAGGTAAATCTAATATTTTAGCTGTTGGCTCAAACCTGAGCTCCAACTTTTTTTAAATTTCAAACAAATAATTTTTTTTTTTTTTTTTTTTTTTTTTCACTTGCATTTTACTTATCCTTGGCTGAATTTAAACCAATTCCCAACTATTACTTGTCACAATCTCTCTCTCTCTCTCAATTATATTGGACATTAGACGTGAGGCAAGAATAAGAAAGAAAGAAGACCTTTCCTAATTTCAAATCAGTTGAGTACCATTATTTCAAGTTAGTTTTATACCTTTTTTTTTAACCTTTATTTAGAGATACTTTCTTACCTTTTAAGTTAAATGTTGAGATTTCAAATCTTCGGTAAAGTGGATGCGTAGGTTTTCTTAGTATGATATAAAACTTCATATAACATTTGAGTTCATATATACAGTCTCCACTATATATATATATATATATATATATATATATATATATATATATGCGATGGGGTGTGAGTGAAAGTTATTTTTAAAATTTTTCTTCAATTTGGCCAATAGAGAGAAATATTGTAAATAACCCTTGATTTTTTATATTATAGTAGTGACTAAATATATGTAGTACTGACCGATACACATTTGAATTCAATATTATTCGGTACAATTAAATTGAGAATATAATATAATATCACACAATAATATTAAATGTGTTCATTCTCTATTTAATGATGTTATAGTGTTACTGCTCTTGATTTTTTTTTTTTTTTCCTCCGTATTATATACTACTGATTTTTCATTTTTTGTATTATATGGCCCTAAAATTTTATTTTTCCTACTGAAATTATAGAAAAATTATACTATTGCCCCCACTGATTTTTTTTTTTTTTTCCTTCCTTCTTAGTACTATATAATACTGATTTTTCATTTTTTGTATTATATAGCGCTAAAATTTTAGAATTGCTCCTACTGAAATTATAGAAAAATTATACCATTGCCCCCACAACATTTTTTATGTGGTTATTGTTAAAAGTTGCCCAACTCACATAATTTTCTGGTTCGTCCTTGATTGTATGATTGTCAGAAGTAAATTTCACTAATGTTTACTTTACTGATAGTGTTACATTTTTAATGTAGATTGCAATGTCCCAAATTTAAATCGCTAATCCAATGCAGCAAGAAGAATCTTGATTATTTGGTTTCATAAACTCTCCTAGATAGTCTATACTTCCTTCACATGTTGTGTTTTAGAACTTGATTTATAAATCATTTACTCAAGTGTAGAATACAAGTCATTAAGGTAAATTATAAGTTGCAATTATTGGGCAAAAGCATGAGCCCCCTCCACTTTTTCTTTTGGTCCAATTTCTTGTAGCACTCACCTACAAATAGCATTCATATTCTTCACATGGGATTTGTTAGGTGTATAGCATCAAACTTTATATATACATTGTATAATAAACTAATCCTTTGACTTGTTTTCAAGAAGTGGCCATTACAAATAGTATGCTATAATAGTTGTAACTGTGTATACACATGATATACACTCATCCTTGGACTTTTTTTAAGGAGTAGGCCATTACAAATAATGTCTGATCAAATTAGAACAAAGGATTCTAAACCGTGTCTCTCAATTTATAAAACGATTGAGAATACGAGCCTTTCCTGTGCACTTGACACAATGAATAGTGGGATCACTTCGTTTATAGAGGAGAACGAAAAATAATAAAAGTCCTGAATTGATATTATTATCAACTAATGTGTCTATTTGATTTGAAAACTTTCAAAGAAGAGAGAACTGTCGTTATGCATCACTAATTGGATACTGATTATTAAAATAGCCAAAAAAACCGATTAAGTGTAACAGTACTCGAGTGGAACTCTCGTATAAGAGTAAGTTTTACCCTGTCACCCTTCTGCTGTGCACTGAACTATCTAGTGCACGGAAAGGAACCAAATTCGTGTGTGAGAGCCACCCTTGCGATAATTTTGTATGTACATTTATTACATGGAGTAATTTTAGGGTAGGGCGGATCTCGAAATTTGAATCCCCTCTCGTGGAGGGATGTCTGCCTATAACCCTACAACACGAGAAAAATTTCTTTGTGTCTATTGCACAATGCATTTTAAGACTTTTTTTTCTTATGATATATCTAATTATTTATTATTCGAGCTTGTGTAATATTGCGAACGTGTGTATTACACTAACAGTGAGAATAAACAAGTTTTTCTAATATAGTTATTAGTAAAGTAAAAACACGGGACAAACACGAAATGGTTACGCTAGGAGCATAGGAGAATTGGAGAATGTTGACAGTCCAACTCTGTATCACTGTTGGTATGGGATTTTTGTATGTGGCCATGTGACTGGGTAGACATTTTGGTGTCTTAAAAGCTTGGGGAGATGGATATAGATTGTCTTGTCTTAAAGCTTTGGAGAGCATCTTCGCGAGAGAGAGAGAGGGGGGAGAGAGGAGAGAGAGAGAGATGATGGAGATGGGGACTGGTGGGACCTCGATTGCTCTTGGTGGAGCAGGCTCTCGTCACTGGAAGTGGAAGCTGCAATGTCAAGCAAAGCAAACCCCCCTCTCTCTCTCTCTCACCAAGAATCACTATCCCTCACCCACCCCCCCATCCCCCACAAAAAGCAGAGGAAGGAAGAAAAAGTGGGAAGGAAAGGGGAAAAAATATCCTCTCACACACTCCTGCTTCTTCTTCATCATTATCATTCCCTTTGATTTTCGTTCCTATTCTTCCCTCTCCATCTATCCCACTTTCACCCCAACAAACCCACTTCTCAACTTGCACAAAGCTCCAAAATTTCCACTGTAAGTCTCCCTCTCTCTTCAAACTTCAGTTCATAGACTCAGTGATATTTCAATTACTTTGAATGTATTGTGTTTGATAAAATTGCTCTGTGACAACTATTTTCTTCTGTTTTTTGTTTTTATTTTTTTCTATTTCTTTTGTCAGTTTCACAAAAAAAAGGTTTGATTTTTGAGAAACCCTGAAGTGAATAAATTTAGAGATTGAATTTGTTGTTATGGATTCCTTCAATCAAACAACCGGGTTTCGATACAACCCGAATTCGAATGCAGAAGACGATGCTGAGTTTTCTGGGATTCTTGAAATTTATGTTCACCATGCTAGGAACATTCACAACATTTGTATCTATGACAACCAAGATGTTTATGCCAAATTCTCTCTCACCTATAACCCTGATGAGACCCTCTCAACTAGCATCATCAATGGTGGTGGTAAAAACCCAGAATTCAATGAGAAATTGATCTTGAAAGTTGCCCAATTCGACGCTGTCCTCAAATGTGAGATTTGGATGCTTAGCAGGGCTAAGAATTACATGGAAGATCAGCTTTTGGGCTTTGTTTTGGTCCCAATTTCCTCAGTTGGGAAAGGAAAGCTTACTCAAGATTATAGTCTATCTTCCACTGATTTGTTTCACTCCCCCGCTGGAACCATTAAATTGAGTCTCTCTTTGAACACAGATGTACCCCTCAATCCCTCTGTCGGTTCTTTCTCTGATTCAGCTGCCGTTTCTTCGATAACTTCAGAAGTTGTGTTGTTGGATCGGAAGATGTCCGAAGCTGTTTTAGACCCAGTCGAGTATTCAAGGATCGAGTTTCCTGATATGGATGTAGTTAGAGAGAATCAGCAGATGGTTTCTGAGTATTTTGACTTGGCAGGGCGTGGCTCGGGTTTGAGGCCTGGGTTGGTTGTGCCTGGGTCGTTCCTTCATCTTGGTGCTTCTCATCAGCCAGTTGACTACTACGAAATGACTACAAACTCGTCTGAGGACAACCGGGGTGGATCCGTTTCTCCCAATGGGAGCATTCAGAATTCCGGGTTCCTGAGTTCCACAATGACAAGTTTGAGTGATGATAGAAACTCAGTTGATTCAATGGAGAAAAAGAATCATATGGTTGGTGAATTATCAAATTCTCCAAACGCATCAATTACTATAGAAACTAATCAAAGCCCCAGTGGTTGTCCAGACACTCCAACTTCAAAGAAGGAAAGTGTAGTCAGAGAGGAGAAAGGGCCAAATTTTTCAGGGAAGGAAGAGGAGAGCAGCAAGGAAGGGAGTATGGGTTCTGTCAAATTCGGTCAAGTGTTTTCGGCGCCACTTGGAAGTATTAATCTTGAGGTGGAACAGTCAGCAATGCAGCAACAGATAGTTGACATGTACATGAGGAGCATGCAACAGTTTACCGAGTCTCTGGCGAAGATGAAGCTTCCAATGGACCTGGATAAACCGGAACCTGAAGACCGTGGTGTGGTGATTCAAAACCATAACAACAAAGTAGAAATCGAGAAGAAGAGGAAGGATAATTCGAGGGTGTTCTATGGTAGCCGGGCTTTCTTCTGACCAGTACTTGGTGCTGCAAAATTCAGGTGAAAGTTGTTAGCCGAGTCACTGAGTTTAATTTATTGAAGTTTGGGCTTATCTCACCTTCACAAATGGTATCTTTGATGTAGATTTTAATTATTTTAGCCTTGCTCAATCCTTTTCATTTGATGACTTTAAATAGTGACTCATCTGTTCTATTAACTTGAATTAAGTAATTGTTCCTCTGTTAACAGTGTTCTATGTGATCATTGATCTTGATGTTTTGGTTCTGTAGTTAAAAATATTTCAAGTGCTTATTAATCATTCTCCTTATTTAGAGCTTGTAGCTCAAAAATGTTATTACCAAGGCAAATAATTGTATCAATATATGATACTCACATATGGTTAAATCTTAATATATGTATCTGCATTTGACATAGATTTCTGAAACTATTCCAATATTTTGTGGTAAGGGGATGGATTTATAAGTCGCTAAGAAGAACATGTTTGCAAATTTAACCAACAAATAGTATATTATGTGCCAGAATTTATCTACCTTCTTTAGGTTTTTTTCTCTCTTCCTACCATGCCTTCAACTTGAAATCGAACAAATTTATAACTCTTTCTTTAACATGCATTCTTTCGGTTGAATGATCAACATCCCCCATTGTTTGATATATATATATATATATATATATATATATGTTGAACAATAGTTAGAAATAGATGCTTCTTCTTCCTTGATTATAGTTTTGTTGAAACATTTCTACTCAGAAATGCATCCTTCAATTTTCTCCAAAAAGAGAAATCTTATTAGACTTCATGAGCAACCCTCAAATTATGAGCATATTGTGCCTAGTATTCTTAAAACAGATTGAGATATGTAGTTATGTACAGATTTGAGTTAGTTCAATCAATCCTGATTCTGAAGTGATGATCAAAGATAGGAAAATACTGTAGGGTTTGTAGATCCCACTGAATTTTTGTAATGAGTATGATGATGAGTGGTAAAACTGAAATCATTAACTAGGGATAGTGATGTGAGGGTGCTTAGTTTATGGGCTAATATTGTAGATTATCTTGATCCTCCAGTAGTGGAAGCTGGAGCTGCAAGCAATGTTGTTTCAGTTGCAGTCAATATTAAATTGAGGCGCTATATTTCTGGAGGTTAATCGTCTGGTTCAGTACAAGTAGAGGCCTAAAGGATTTTTTATTTTTTATTTTTTTTTGTAATCATCGGCAAGAAACTCAAACTCATTTGTTCATGTAGGACTGGAACCTTCACCTTTTACATTGATAGAGGAGATACCACTAAGTTACAACTTTTGATGGTATAGATGAATTGGCATGAAACTGAAACCTATAGTGAAGGGATTTGCATCCCTTGGATGCATTGGGTTGGACCCAGCGCATGTCCTACTCAATGCATCCAAGGGATGCAAACCCTCACGGCTTATAGGTTTTGATCTCATTCTTCAATTGAAAATAATTGTTAATTATTTCCTCTTAAGTTTTTTTTCTTTTAGTTTCTCCTCTGTTTTATTTATTTATTTATTTTTCTTTCATATATTTCTTTGGGATTTGGAATAAAAAAAAATGATGAAGAAAAGAAATGGCATTAGATTTGAATTGAAATTCCATTTGTGTGCTTGGAATTAGTTGAAAATTTTATTATCAGGGAAATATTTCTTTTATCATTTATGCTTTATTTATTGGAAGGAATAGCAATAATATGTTTCATTATCACCAAGGCCTCTAGCCTACCTAGAAAATGATTTAAAAAAATTTTTTACGATTCATTAAAAAGATGGGCAAATTGGGTAATATACAAACTTATTTATTAATCCCATCAAATCCCACCAAATTTTATAAGATTTGTGGACACTATATTTTGAGATTTCAAATCCTATGAAATCTAATTCTATTTTAAAATATTTTGATTTCCGTTTTAAATTTCAAAACTCATCATTACAATCATAGAATTTTTTCTTTCAAAATTTCTAATGCTATGTTTGGGAGCATTAAATCAGAATTTTGAATCGGATGCTAAAGTAGTGGTGGAAGCATTAGCGGGTGTTCGATCTGGTGAGGGTGCATTTGCTTCTTTGGTATCTGTTACGCGAAAGGAGCTTCAGGATTTTCCTTCCTTTTCGCTTACGCATGTGAGAAGAGTTGGTAATCAGGTTGCTCATGTGTTGGCATGTTCATCATCTGCTGAGATGGAAGCGGACTTGGTGCTTCAGTCCATGCCGCCTTCAATCCCTAAATTTTTGGAGGAGGATGCTGCTGTTTGAGAGTTTGGAGTTATGTCTAGTTTCAGTTTTTTTGTTGTAGTTGCTGCCAGGACAAAAAAAAAAAAAAAAAAATCAGATTTTAGAATTTAGAATTAAAAGAAATTTAGTTAAAATTTTAAGTATGATTTTTACTATTCCAAATCTATGGCACCGATTGAGTTTGAATTGAATTTTTATAAGAAGTGGATTTAGTACTCCCAACCGAAACATAAAATATTTACATATTGTTTATACTCGCATCAGTTTGGGTAAAAGAAATAACCCTTCTACGGGACGTGCGTCAAAGAAATCATTGGCGTAAAGGGAAAATAGAAAAGAAAAGAAAAGAAATGATTGGAACTTTTTTAGGTGTGACTATATGCTGTAGCTGCTGGGCCTTTATCAAAAGGTTAATGCTTCCAAACATAGCATTAGAAATTCGCAACCACCATTGTTATTCCATTGGACTTGCATCAAACAAGCTTTTTGGATACTCCAGGCATTGCCAATTTGGGCCCAAAGTCTCTAAAATCCCTACCATTGGACCTGCTCTAAGATTTGAAGTGCCAAGCTCCCCGAGCGGATATACCCGTGTTTAAATTCCCTCTCCCTTAATTTATCAGGATTAAAAAAAAATAAAAGTAATGGGCAGTAATGGGGACATTATGGCTTAGAGCACCCAGATCTCCGAGCGGGTGTACCTGTATTCAAGTTCCCAAATCCCCTAATTTGCCAAGATTAAAAAAAAAATAAATAAATAAAAAGTAATGGGCCTGCTCTAAAAACTTTCATGGTTTCACAAGGTTCTTTTACAGACCAGTTGGATCAGCTTGTAAGCTAAGCTTCTTTACTTCCCTCAACAAGGTCGACGGGTTATCAACACGGACTAAGTTGGCAACCACCATTTGCACTCTTGAAGACGAGCCCATTTGAGCTCTGAACAAGCCCATGAAAAGCCCAATTCATAATCTATAATAGTTTGGATAATGGGCCTGACCTAGAATCAATGTACTACTACCCACTCATGAGGCACTTCCATGCTTAATGTTACTTAGGTGTTCTAAGGACCACGTGAGTTTGAAAAGGTTCAAGTTCGTGACATTTGTGAAAAGCAAAATGAATTAAATAGAGCTATTTAGGGTTGTAGTATAGTATACTTCTTAACCTTATAAAATAGAAGGTTGATAGTTCAAATCTCTATAGAGTATGCTATTGGGATTGCAATCAAGTAAGATGAGTCCAACTTTTCGCTATTTAATTCAAATTCAAGTTGGAGTTGATGCAATCAAACCTCGTATTAATTCTATGCAATTCAGCGTAGCTAAGATGCACTGTAGTAATCAAATAAAAATAATTTATCAATTAATAATAAGTTTATATGGTATATTCTCTCTTTAGCTTCAAGCATTCCATCTCTCTGTCCCTTCAAGCATTCCAACCAAATTGATTTTTCGGAAATCAAAATATGATGACCATACTAGCTCACATATTTTTATAATAAAGTTTTTTTTACAAAACTTACCCATATGTCGTGAAATTTCATCACATACAGTATGCACATGAAAAAGTTACTAATGAAAAGCACTATAGTTTACACTCCATTTTGAACTTGTATAATACTATAAATTGGTCTGAGTGGACTATAATTTATCTTAAGGGTGTGTTTGGCTGCATGGAAATGAAATTGAAATTGATGAAAAAAATTTGAGTCAATTTTCTTTGTCAAGTTCCAATTCCATACAACCGAATACACCTTAAGTTTAAATTTAACAATAAATATTTAATATAAATGTAGTTTCAATTTAACAGTTCATATAACCTTGGACAATTAATCAGTAGTTCATAGACAAACTAGATGAATGTGGATTTGCCGTCTTCCAACAGAGTGCTCAATGCAGGATTAAAAAGTGGAATCCATCCACAACAATTCCTCACAAGTCCAAACAGCAAGCTTGGGGGTGAAATTAGGAAGGCCAAGATTCCAAACGAAAGGAAAATGATATGTAATCTGACAATCGGATGCATCCAACAGTATTATGTGAGTGGGGGATGATGACGATGAATCATCCGTCACTCATATAAATATAGTTAAATATGGTCGACTTTTGGACATTAAATCACGATTCAAATATGAACAATGAAAAGAGCTTGTATAGTGGTTGTACGTATCTTGAAATAACAACACTAGATTCTGACTTTAACATAATGAAACCGTTTGATGAAGGTCTTGATTATGTCATATGCATCAACAATAAAAATAAGTTTCTGCTTTGGATTGCTAACCATCACAAATACGATTTGCTACAAAGGAAAATATAATCCGCAAATATTAGTACTTCAACAAGAAGGATTGCTCCAAATCAGAAAATTCACTTTTCCAAAATCATCACAAAATGATCAAAAGCAAAGTCACCATGGTAATGACAGGGTAAAAAAAGATCAAAAAACCTCAATTGCACTAGTCTTGGAGCTCCTGGCCAACAATAATAATTTGTTGTAAACGTCCAGCTCTTTACTAGAAGTAGGATGTATCATCAATTTCTTCAAAACTTTTGCGTTCTTCAAGAAATACTGTGCCATTTTTATCTCATAGTCCTCTCCCACAAACCACTTGATTTTAATTACTTTGAGGTGAAACGAAAAACAAGAATGCACGTTCTCAGGTGGATACCAATGGCTTGGGTGGTCTTCGTCACGAGGGCGTGAAAGTGCCTAAGCAAAAAAACAAAAACACACACAAATAGTATCAACCATCATTTAACTGCTCAAGCAATTAGATTTTTCCATAATAAGTCGTTTAATCCCAAAAAAAAAAAAAAATTAGTGTAGTCCTTACCCAAAAAGTAAGAGTTTCCAGTTGCAATGAGTTGTTAAGTAAATCCAGTAACAATTTCCATGTAACATACATTTCACCAAGCTCCAAATAAGTCGAGCAATGAAACTTTGGCAGTGGATATGAGTACCATTCAAGAGTCTTCATGAAAAATGAAAACATAGTCAATAGATATATCTATAAATTTAAATCACACATAGTGGTAATGGGAGCGGGAGTGCACGGAGTGTGAAAACAAGAGCCGTTGAGAAGGATTGTGTGACCTCAAAGAGTTGAGCAAACAAACCTGTACCGTAGCATTGGATAAATGAAGCCACTGAACTCTAGAAGCAATTCCTTCAAAAAATTCTGCTACGGCAAGATCTCTAACACCAATTCTAGACAAACCGAAGTTAGCTTTGACATAAGAATTTATGTTACTCACTGAATAACCTTCTACTGCATAACCATTGTATGTAAGTTGTTGAAGATTTGGTGTATTAAGTACAATCTTGTACTTGCTTTCAACATTCACATAGCAATTTATGATGAAAATTTTGAGAGCAGGAGCGGAAATCTTAAAGACACTGATATCTTTCTGCTCGCATAATGTTTCAGACAAGTCTTCAAGCACAGGGCTGCTCGAAAAGAGCCTACCGATCGAGTCATCATCCAAAAATTCAATTCTATCAAGACTGGAGGATTTTAAGGCTATGTAGACAGACTGAATTTGGTTCAATGAGAACAAATTTATGCAAAATTAACCTCCAAAATCCAAAGCTTGGACATACATTTTACGCATTTCAATATTTATTTATGAACAATGCTTGCATCCTGCGGGCCGAGGATGAGGTTCATCCTCCGCGCTGACATGGCCCAATGACACGATGACAGGTGTCCAAAATAAAATAATAATAAAACACGGGCAATGCCCATTTTGTTCGGGTTAAACCCGTTTCAAGCATCTCCGGCCTCGGGGCGAGCCCAATCGACCATCAAAAGCAAGCGGCGATGGAGATCAGGCTCCTCGCCAAGAACAAGTCCGAGAACCGAATCGAGATCACTTGCGCCGGCGCGATCAAGCCGTTGATTTCGCTGATCTCGTCGTCCGATCCTGAGCTTCAAGAGTACGGCATCACCGCAATTCTAAACCTATCTCTCTACAACGAGAACAAGGAGTTGATAGCTTCATCCGGAGCGATCGAACCACTGGTCAGAGCTCTCAAGGTCGGCACATCAACGGCGAGAGAGAACGCCGCGTGTGCCCATCTCATCAAGGTCGGCACGTCAACCGAACACCAGTTGGATCGGAGATCGCAAGGGTTAGGGTTTGACCACCGAGACTGGGATTGGAAGCGAGACGCCGACGGAGAGGGAGGTTGTGATTGTTTGAGGCGGTGGCGGTTTCAAGAACGGTGGAGGTCATTGCCTCAATTGCAAGTGGGTGGTTTGATGATCCAAAAACAGTTCTAATGTGTAATTTTTATGGGTTGAGTTTTTATTTTTTTGTTAACCATCATTTATGAGAAATTCCATTTGCAGAAGAAAAGTAGTAGATAAATAGTCGCACTTCACCGAATCACCTGTATAAACTTTAATAATTGTTTGAGATTTTGAGTATTCGATGTTCAGGCATCATGGAGGTAGACATGGAAAATTCTGTCTCAACCTCACCTGAAGAGCCTGCAGTTGCAGTCAGTAATGGGCAATTGATCCAATTCCACCACTACCAGATCCAATGTAAGATCGCGTGACTGAAAATGGATGGGTTGTGGGAGAAAAAAAAAATTGATGTACGGGTTGTGACAGAGGAATTGATGAGAGGTACACGCACAATCGCCCAGCGGCGAGGAGGACTCGAGCTCCGACGTGATAGCAGATTGGGTGTCGCGGTCGGAGAGTTTACCTTCGGTTGGTCTGTTCTGAAATTTAGAAAAGAGAGAGAAGAGTGTAAAAAACGGGTTTAACCTGGACAAAATGGACATTACTCGTGTTTTGTTATTATTTTATTTTGGACACCTGTCATCGTGTCATTGGGCCATATCAGCGCGAAGGTTGAACCTTCCTCCGCCCACAGGATGCAAGCATTTTCCTTTATTTATTCCCTCCCAAAAAGTTTTTAGCATTCCATCTCCTCAATAAAGAATATTTGCAATATTAGGACTTAAGGCATGACCTATTGAGCTTAGGATGTGACATTGTTATAGAGATTTTAGTGAAAACTTGAGCAATATAAAAGTATATTTTGAAAACAAGTATCACGAGTAAATTACACAAGCTTCTTTTTATTTGGAATTTTTTTATTTATATTTATAATAATTAATAAAAAAAATTTAAACCCAAAACCTATAGTGTAATTTTCAAAGCTTATGTTATAGAGTGATTTTTAATTGCATCGGAACTAAGAGCCAGGAATTTGGTCGGGGTCATATTGTGCGTATAATCAAAGGCGGAGCCGGAATTTGGTTGGGGAACATAGTAAGCATGTCATAATATATAATTTTTCACTAACCGCTGCAAGACAGCAAGCTGAAATATAATAGTGTAACAATAATATATTAATGTGTTTTTGTGACTTGTTTATCATTTTCACTAATTTGCCAACAAAAATACAAAACAAAAAAGATTGGCAACATGCCCTAAGTGTATAAAATTCTAATAATAAATTTAAAAATAAGTGAATAAAAAATGAATAAGAAAAGAAGGTTATTCGTACATAAATCATACATGAGCACATGAAAAAGAAAATTTTTAAGAAGAAAAAGAGAGAAAGAACTTTGAAGGGGATAAAAATAGATTTTAATTGAAGAAAGAAAATGCAATTTTTTTATTTTTTTTTTATTTTTGAAGAGAACAAAAGGAAATTTGAAGAATAAGGGTAGGAAAGAAAAGAAATAAGGAATTAAAAAGATTTTTAGAATTAGATTGTTTTATTAAGGGGGGGAGGGGGGGATTTATTAATTTTAGGGGTTATTTTATAAATATTTACAATAATATGCATAGAATAAAATAAGATTTAATGGGCTACTATAACAAGAGGGAGCTTATCCCACATTAGATTCGGATAAAAAAGTGAATGGGTATATATGGGTTGGGTGTTAATTCCACCTAATAGTTTAAGCTTTTGGGTCAAATTGCGAAGTATCCACCCGTTACAGTTACTATTAGAGCTAGACCCACTCTTTAATCTAGTGTCACGCCAAATGCTCGGTCTAGAGATGTTTGGGTGGCCCGACTACAACAAAGTTATTGCGAGTTTGGGTGGGGGAGAATATAACAAGAAGGAGCTCGTCCCATATCGGATCTAGATGGAAAAGGGAATGGGTATATACGAGTGGGGGGTAACCTCACTTAATAGCTTAAGTTTTTGGGTTGGGAGGTAGTTGCCCCCTGGGTCTATTATAATACCCTTAATTTTAAAAGGATAATCTCAGTATTTATTTATTTGTTTTAATTGCATTTTTAATTGTTTATTTGATTATTTGGCTATTTGTTTATATGATTAATTGAATTAATTGTTTAAATTAAATTGAGTTTGCTTAAATGGTTTATTTTAATTAATTGTTGTGCTTGCTTAAATTATGTGTTTGTCTAATTGTATTTATTTGTTAGATTGACTGAATTAAATGTTTGTTTTTATTTTTATTTTTATTTTCTTTTATTTTTAAAGGAGTTAGATATGGATAGTAGTAATGGATCAAGCCAATGGGTGACTACTTAAATAGGAGTCTTGATGGGTACAGATATTTACCCATGGATAATGGTGTATATGTGTGTGTGTGTGTATATATATATATATATATATATATATATAAGGATAGTTTTATTACTAGTATTATTATTTGATTAATTAATAGTTATAATAGGATTTGGTCAGTAGTATATATATATATAGCTATATATTATAGTGTGTGCGTGTGTGTGTGTATATATATATATATATATATATCTCACGTTAGAATAACATACTTTACTTTATATATATGTATATTTATTTAATTTTCCTTTTTCCTTTCTTAGTCTTTAATAAATATAGTTTGGGAAGAATTAGGAGTAGGGTTGTATTAAGTAGTATATATATATATATAATAGTATAGGTCTGTAGAAGGGGGCTATTATGTGATATATATTTAGGGAAAAGAGGGTTACAGAGAGTGAGAAAGCCGGGAGTTTTAGAGAGGAAAGAGGAGCCAACCAAGAAGGAAGGCTGAACTCTAGGAAGAAGAAGGATAGGTTGTTCGTGGGCTAAGACTCGAGTAACAAAGGTTTGTGAAGGCAACCAAAGGTTGCCGAAAAACAGAGAGTTGATTGGAGAAGAAGGAGATAAGGTTTTCATTTCGAAACCTTAAAGGCAAGTTCTTTGTTCTACTCCTCTTCTTTGATCTGGGATTCAATGCATGTCTAGGACTACTTTAGGGTGATTATATGAGATTAATTAATCTGTTTGCATGCTTTAATCGGATTAAAACATGAACTAATTATGTGTTTATTGTGGGTTCTTGATTGTATGTAAAGTTGACCAAGAAGGAAGGCCGAACTCTAAGAGGAAGAAGGAGAGACTGTTCATGGGCTAAGACTTGAGTAGCAGAGGTCTGTGAAGGCAACCAAAGGTCACCAGAAAATAGAGAGTTGATCGGAGAAGAAAGAGATAAGTTTTTCATTCCGAAACCTTAAAGGCAAGTTCTTTGTTCTACTCTTCTTCTTTGATCTGGGATTCAATGCATGTCTAGAACTACTTAGGGTGATTATATAAGATTAATTAATCTGTTGCATGCTTTAATCAGATTAAAACAAGAACTAATTCTGTGTTTATTATGGGTTCTTGATTGTATGTAATTCTGTAAATTAGTGCATGATTCTTTGTTTTAATTGTTGGGGCTTGTGTATTTTTATATTAAATAACATTGATAATCATATTAGATTTCAATACAACAATTTAGGACCCGGATAGTGGAGTCATAGGTTTAGAACAACTGTCGCGAGGAAAGAGATGACCTATTTCGGTCGACCGATGTAGGTGTTCCGGTCCACTGATGAAGTGGATCGATCGACCAATGTAGGTGTTTCGGCCGACCGAATTGGGGAATCGGTCGACCGTAATTCCCTGTTAAGGCAACATATTTTGTTGTTTATTTTTTTTGGGTTTGTTTTAACGTTGTAAGTGATATTTATGGTTAAGTGGTGATTAGGTATTTGGATAACGTTGTATTGGTAAAAATTATATTGTACATTATATTAATTTGTTGATAAATATTTTATCCTGAAATTATGGATCAATAGGATAATAATGTATTGGTTAAATGTTGGAACTTTAGCATAAATATTAATATTACGTGTAACGTGTTATGTGGTTAATTAATATAACTACTTTTGGATACTAGTTAGTGGTTGGTTGGTTTTACCACTTTAGTAAAAAGTAAAGATAATGTTTAAATTGGTAATAACGTGGTATTTATTTTAATACACGTAATTGGATTAATTAATGATTTTATTTAATTATTATATTGTAAATCATTTTTTGGGATAATGTTATATGTATTTAATTACATATGGTTGGATTAAATTATTTTAATCAATTATTTGGTTTTAAACAAATTTGATTAGATTGTGGAGGAGTACAATTATTTGAGATGCATGTAAATTTTTATGAGATAAATTCAGTGCATGCTACTTAGAATTGTTATATTTTGCAATATTTATATAATTTATATCATGCTATGTATAGATTTATTTGATGTGATATTATAACTGTATCATCATTTATGGATTGTATGCATTATATGTACCAGTATGGGATGGTGGCATATTAGGGACGGATTAACTAAAAACGTTAAGTCCTACCTATTCATGTATAATGGAATGGATTAACTAAAATGTTAAATCCTACATATTTTCATGTCAGGTCAACTGAATCAGTTGGATGACATACCAAATATTTATTTTATGTTTAGATATGACGGATTATATATATATAGTTACATTCCATGATATGAGCTTGAGTCTTAGGATCATGGTTATGGTACGTATATTGCCAGGGATGTATAGCTAGATGTAGTGTAGTTGTGTACCCTAGTAAGTCTAGGTACTCATGCCCACTATATGTGCGTTTTGCATGTTGCCTATTATTCAGGTTGAGACAACCCTATAGTCTAATGAGGTTCTTTTAGTGTGTATTTCTATATACGAACTACTTAGCTATTGCATTAGTTGATTAGTATGTATTCGTTCTCTAGGTCTCTGTTAGATGTAGTAGAAATAACTTATTTGTGGGTCTGACCCACTATTTATTTTTCAGGTCTATGTAGATTTTGATCGTGCAGAGCAGAGACCAGTTAATATCATTTTTTCGGATCTTCTACATATGATATTACTTTATGTTTCAGTATTCAGTTGTAGACAAGTGTTACTATTGATTCTATTAGTTTAGATTTTCTAGGGGTCACAGTATGGATTTCCGAGTTGGATTTTGGAGGATTAGATATATCAGAAGATTTTACTATGTAATGGAAATATATTCTGAAGTTTTTAAATACTGGATTATCATTTTAGTTTTCTTTTCAGCATTTTTTCTATTCTTATTTATCCTTTTGTATTCTGTGTTCGTTTATTGCCGATTTGTTTTGATATCTCCGGGTATTCGGGCATGGGCCTGGCCAACCCGCATTAAGAAATCCGGTGGTATCATAGTTGGTATCAGAGCACTCTAGGTTCAAGTGTCCTTAGGAGTGTTTTTCGTTATATGACTTCCGCGTTGCGTTTCTTAATACTTAGAGCCCATAATAGGATTTGTTGTATTCTTTTTACGGTTCGTTAGGGGAAGTTGATGTCAATTATATTATGTAGTTATAGAATAGTTGACACTAGGAAGAGGATGGGGTCCAAGGCGAAAGCGATAAAAACCCAAAGAAGTATAGGAGTACGTTATCCCTAATTCTACCAGAAGGGATTGAAGGTTTAGTTTCGGTTAGCACTACTTTAAAGTACAAGCTAACAAAGGATTTAAATGTGTGATAGGTCACCGCATATCGGGACCAACACGACTTCTGTTTTCTAAAAAAGAAGAAAAATGAGGAGGAAATTCTCCTTAGAAGGAGTGCTGTCTTATGTATGAGTACTTTAAGTGTAAAATTGTCTGATATATATATATATATATATATATATATATATATATATATATATATATATATA